TCCCCTCGGTGTCAGGAACCAACGCCCAGGTCCTCCCAACACGAACCTGTCATGGGACTAATTATTGCTTTAGCATTTGCCGATCCACCCACCTCGCACGAGAGGCCCCTGATGGCCAGAGCCCCCGAGCCAGCTTTTCCGCAGCACCTCTCCGAACCAGACCGATCCGTGAGGTCCCAGGCCTCAGAGGAGGAGGAGGAGGAGGAGGAGGAGGAGGAGGAGGAGGAGGAGGACAAGGAGGAGGAGGACAAGGAGGAGGAGGAGGAGCAGGAGGAGGAGGAGGAGGAGGAGGAGGGAGGAGAGGAGAGGAGGAGGAGGAGGAGGAGGAGGACAAGGAGGAGGAGGAGGAGGAGGAGGACAAGGAGGAGGAGGAGGAGGAGGAGGAGGCGGCTGCCGTGCCGCACTCCCGGCGCCCGGCTCCGAGAGCCGGCGGCGAGCGCAGGGGAGGAGCGGGAGGGGGCAGGCCTCCGCAGGAGTGTGTGGGGGGGTCTCTGAGGAGTCAGAAAATACTAACAATACTACGACTAATCATAACACGAATGCTAATCATAGCAGTGAACCTCGAGATAATAAGAATAGTAGTAATACTAGTAGTAGTAATAATACTGATGATAATATTCATAATGCTAGCAATCAAGACAAGAATACTCCTAATAACAATGAACCTGGAGCCCTCGGCCTTTCCCCCCTGCGCTCGCCGCCGAGAGAGCATTCCGGGCCATCGACGAGCCGTTTCGGAGCACAGGGCAGGGGAGGGCCCGCGAGGAGCGCCGAGCGCGCGCGCCTCGGGGGGCCTTCCCCGCGAGGCGCGCCGAGAGGTCTCCCCCTTTTCCGTCTTCTTCTTCCTCCTCCTCCTTGTCGTCGTCGTCCTCCTCCTCCTCCTCCTCCTCCTCCTCCTTCCTCCTCTCCTCCTCCCCTCCTCCTCCTCCTCCTCCCCCTCCCTCCTCCTCCCCTCCCCCTCCCCCTCCCCCTCCCCCTCCCCCTCCTCCTCTTCCTGATCCTCCACCTCCTCGGGCCCTGCAGGATCCTGCAAGATCCAGCGCTCTGGCCGACCTCCCCGCGCGCCGAGTGGATTCTCTCTACGCGCGCGCGCAACGTCTTTGGCACAGTGGAGACCCGTGCCAAGAACCACCCTGCTTGTCTCCAGGGTGCCCTGGGTTTCTTGGGTTCCGATTGCTCCGCCAATTATGGAGACCGCGACGCTCCCACGCCGAAAAACAATGGACGTCCTCGGGTCTCAGGGTTGGGCGTCTTGTGGAAGGTTTCTTGTGGTCGGGCGCCCACTGTACTAAAGGGGAGGCCGCATGGAAGAAGGCTGTGGGGCGGAAGGGGCAAGCGTGGGGTGGGGAGATGGCAGAGGGCGCTGGTGGCGCATAGTGGGATGGGGGGGCGAGGGGAGGGGCGAAGCAGCGGGGGAGCACGGCGGCGTGCGAACAGAGACCCACATAATGGAGCCAATGTTCACATGATTGGAGGATCGTGCCGTATCGCCGCTGCATTGGCGACGGTGCGATATATCAGGCGATCGCAAACATGGATCAAGGGGGCGTGCATTAGCGACGGGTCCCGTTTCCGTGGGAAATCGTGGATTTCCGCCGCCGAACGAGGCGGCATTGGCCGCATTCTGTGGAGGGCACCTCCCCCGATCCATGTTTGCGCGCCCCCGACTCTCCTCCTCCTCCTCCTTCTCCATTCCTTTTCCTTATCGATAATTTTACCCTGTCGCACCCCGAGGCTTATTGTAAGGCGGGCCTGGCGTTTCGCATGAGACTTTCTCACCATTTATGACTCTGAAGCTTAAAAAGTGGCAGCAGTTTGATTCACAGATGGAGGGCGGGTGGTTTTCAAAATGTGGCTCTCGCCAAAGCGCCGCGCACATTCGGTTTAAGCATTTGCAAGAGTTTCACGGATTGAGGGCGGGTGGTTTTCAACATGTGGCTCTCGCCTTAGCGCCGCGCACGTGCATTTATTACATTTGGAAGAGTTACACGGATTCCCGTGATCACCGTACCAGAAATTGTGTTTCGGAAGGGTTTAGGATTATACGGGTGCAACAGTTATGTTGATTCGCGGTGTTCAAGTCCCAAAAATAGCATTCTGGCACGATTCAGGATCGTCAAGACGCAGCAATCAGGTTGATCCGTGGCGTTGAAATCCAGAGAAACATGTTTCGCATTGCTGCAGGGTCTTCAAGGGTGTCTTCCAACGAGGCAGTTCCCCCAATAGACATGAACCGTCGTAGGGGCCTATGAAGAGGGAGCGTGGAGGGAGGGTTACTTCCAACATCGTTGATCCTTCTCCCTCCTCCTCCTCCTCCTCCTCCTTCCTCCTCCCCCTCCTCCTCCCCCTCCTCCTCCTCATCCTCCTCCTCCTCCTCTGCCTTAGGACTCTGCGCGCCCCCGAACGTAGGAGATCGGGCGCCCGACCGCGCCGCCCCGGAGGTCCTGCGCGGCCAGTCGCCGCTCGGCGACCCCTTCGGCCTCGGGCTCCTCGGCGGAGG